CGGTCACGCTGCAGCCCGTTCATCATCCTCACTGCTTTGCTTTCTTTAAGATGGTACCCACTGCGGAGATGACGGTGGTCTTGGTACCGCTTGCTGTTGTTGTCACAGAGACGACGGCGGGCAGCGTGGCTGTGGTTGTGATGAGGGTGGGCTGGGCCAGGGTCACAGGGAGTGCAGAGTCCCACTTACTTTTCCTCTTCTGGGCATCTGTGACATAGTAAACACAGGGGAGGAGTCAGTAAGAGCAGGTGTGTGTTTTCTGGATTAACCGATTGGCAGGATGCCTCGTTCATCTCGTTTTTGTGACCGCCTGCTAGCAACAAAGCGTTTAAAAATTATATTAAGTTTAAAATTGTTTATTTGCTACTGTGTCTGTTATCTGTAACAATGGCTTAACAAACAAAAAAGCCTGAAAAAGCACAAAGAAAAAGAAGCAAAATAGAAACAAATAAGAAGTGTCTTAAGATTTTTGGACTCACTAACCCAATAACCTCATTTGTTCGTGTACACCTGAGGTCCAATCTGATCACACTACTACTGGAGCAAGCTGAAGCTAGCAGATGTTGCAGTGCTTTACCTGTGGATGTAGTTGTGGTGTTGCTGGTGGTGGAGGCTGCTGTGCTGGAGGGGTTGGTGCCCTTCTTAGTCCCCGTGACAAACTCAATCTGGAAAAAACAACAACAACACACACACACATATTAAAAAACTGGTTTAAATTGTTTGATTTATTATTGTTTAAAAAAACAACTTGACCGCAGTCACTGAAAAGCTCAACTTAAGAATCTACAGCAGAGGTTACAATAATATGTAAGTGAAGCATTTTGCACAACTACAAATACTGTGAACAGCTCTGATGTCTCTTAGCTTGAATACTGTAGCTACATAACAGTGGGTTCATTTCACATCAGGCAGAATAGCCGCTGTGCTCTACATGTTCATTCAAGTCCAGCTCAGTGCAACAGCAGGAATGATGCTGCTGATGGCAGCAGGTATCACTATGTTTTTAAACAACACTGTCCTTGGAAACTCCCATCTCCCCCAGCATTTAGCTGTCTGAAATGATGCCCAGCATAAAGTCAAAAGAATCCATAGCAAAGAAAGACATACTGGGGGGGGTGGGGGGGAGCAGTTGGTTTTTATGTAGCAACCCAGAATGGGTGAAGCCGACAAGTACATCTGCCCTGGGCTGGGCCCGAGCTGCTGTTACGAGAGCTCAACTTGGCAACATTGATTTCTGTGTGTCAGACGGAGGTAAAGTAGAAATGAAGTACAGCTGGTGGAGACTTGCCCCTGATGCAGACTGACAGAGTAATCCACTCTTCTTTGTCGTTAGGCTCACCTTGGTCCGTTCCTTCTTGGCTTTCTCCAGTTTGTCCATCTCCACCTTCTGAGCTTTGGCTGGAGGATTAAAAGCAATTATGAGCGCTGATATGAAATCACAAAGAACAAGTAAGCGCAAAATAAAAAGACTTACCGAGAGCTTCATAGTAAGAGTCTTCCGACCAGGCGTGAGGATCGAACATATCTTTTGGGTAGTTGGTTCCCAGTTCATCTATAGCGCAGAACTGAATGAGCTTCTCGTAAATACTGAAAACAAAGAGGAGCTTCGTAAGAGTCGAACAGTACATCTGCTGTCACGTGTAGCTGACAGTCCATGTGTGCGTTTGACGGTGTGGGTGCATTCTCCAGCTGAGCTGCATACCTTGGGTTTCTAAATTCCTTCTTTTGCTGGATATGGGCGTTTGTGTCAAAATCTCCATGGAGCTTCCTCTCATACAGCTTGTGAATCTTCTCCTGTTACAAAACAAACAAACTGGTGAAGGAAGAGAACACACGCACACACACACACACACGCACACACACCGCTGTTACAATTCACTTCACTTGTGTCACAATGCAGTGTCACTTAGGAAATAAACAACATGTTTATACCAGGAATGGAGTTACTGTAGATGAGTTTCCTGAATTTGCTGAGAAAATTTCACATCCACGTTCAACTAAACCACACAGAGCTGGCACATGTACCCAGATCCACAGTGATGCATGAGGTCTTAATATAGAAAAAGAAGAAATAAGAGGATAGTGCTCTTGTTCATCCATAGCGGTATCTCTATCATCACTACATGTCTAGGTCCACTGTTACTGTGTTAACAACAATGAAACTAATTCCTGTGCTTCTAATATTAGTGTTTTCTAAAAAGCCATCCCTATTGGCTGGATAATTTGATGTAAACAACTACAAAAAATTATTTTTGAAGATGTACTTTCTGACCTTCCTCAAGTAAACTCTTTAAATGTGCACAATAAATCCCCGACTTAATTAAAATATCTTGTGTGGATTCTTGAGATTAACAAGCACACTAATATTAAACATATCTGGACTATGGTGGCTGTAGCTCAGGTGGTAGAGCAGGTCATCTACTGAT